GTCAGTGGAACGGAATCCAGTGACCCAAGAATTTTTACCTCTATCGATTAACAAATGGTCAACGATCTCGCCCTGTATAGATCTTAGGTTCAATCCTCAAGGAGGAAGCAGGTGCGTACTTCTACGGAGTCAAAAACTAGTTGGAAGTAGATAGATGTCCAGTACTTCCTAGTTCTTGGGGGTGGTCTTAGTGATATCACTCTGTGATCAGATCACCGGTGATCACAGAGTGATCTGATCACAGAGTGATATCACTAAGACCACCCCCAAGAACTAGGAAGTACTGGACATCTATCTACTTCCAACTAGTTTTTGACTCCGTAGAAGTACGCACCTGCTTCCTCCTTGAGGATTGAACCTAAGATCTATACAGGGCGAGATCGTTGACCATTTGTTAATCGATAGAGGTAAAAATTCTTGGGTCACTGGATTCCGTTCCACTGACTGAGTGATCAACAGACTCATTTCTTAACCTGAAGGTTAGGAGTTCGATGCTTGGTGGAGTGATGGGTGTGTACTACTGGAAAGTCTCAAACTGGGACGAAACAGCCGGCCAGTACTCTCTAGTTTTTTCAATGGTCCTCTAACTGATTTCACTTCCTGATCAATTGCGAAACCGATGAAATATTAACAAACTATCACTTGAAGATCATAGCCACTAGACTGGTATATTTTCTGCTACACTAAAATCGCTGCATATTTTACAGTAGAGCTATAAAAGAGAATCGAATTAAAAAGTGAATATTTCTTCACTCAGTCATTTTCTCTTATAAATACCGAAATGGAAATCTTCAATAAATTAGTAAGTGACTCTTGAAAATACGTAGCTTCACTTTTAAAAAAGTGATCTTACTTGCAAAAACTACTGGTTAATGTGAGGAGCATCAAAGTACTCATATTGGTCAATCATTAGTGTGTAGCACAAATCGTTATCATTTAGACGAATAGGCATTCAGGATTTCTGTGAGCATCTTAGGATATTCAATTTTATTCAATTTGCTTTATTTGCTTTATTCAACAGGAAATTTTAAATGAGACGTCATATAGTATAACTTAAAACACTAGAAATACCCAGTGAGTCATGAAGAAAGTAAAAGACAATTCAGAGGAGGAAATTTCCTTTTTAATTGAAGACATCTTCAGAGACTGTACGATTGTATTTATATTTACCAAAATCGTATTATTATTATTATGGTTTCTTTCAATTCCTTGAGGAACATATGGCTTCAGCCCCAAGTCTCCATTGCGTTCGGTTCTCTGCTACAGTCTTCACCTGGCTCCAAGTCTGCTCACACCTTTTCATCTCCTTTTCATATAACCTCCTCCAAGTCACCCACCCTCGCACTGACGGCCAACTCGCCGCTTCCCTTTCGGGTTCCACTCGAGCAATGGCTTGTCTAGTGATGTCACTTGATGCATTGTTTCCTCAGAGTATGGCCAGCCAATCCACCTCCATTTCTTTCTGCATATTTGTTTCACAATCGGCTCTTGCTGAGTTGGTTCGCTCCCAGAGACCTCTGTTGCTGCTCTTTTCTGTATAGTGATCGTCTATTATTGAGTTATATGGGGAGGGTGATATAACTGATATAATTACTCAGAAGTGGCTTCTAAAGTAAAATAAAAATTACATAAAATTCAAAATTGTTATTGAATGTGAAGAAAGGCAGTTGAGTGTCCACTTGACAAGCATGAAGAAGTTAAGGAAAAATTCTCAGGGAACGTAAAAGTGTTAACTGTGAATTAACTATTAAAAACAAAAGCGAGTTATTACGGAGAAGATTAAAACCATGATAGAGTAGGAGACAGGAAAAACGTTTTCTGCATACTGAAGTTTCGGGATCAAATTGTAGAATCGACAGCACCTCCGTCATGACGGATAACGTCCAGAGATGCATTCGGAAGGTGTGTATCTTGTGCAGCCAAATCAAGTGAATTGAGGAACACACACTGAAGTGACCCAAAGTGGCAGTTTATCTTTCACACAGACAATGATGATCTCGCCCAGTTTACTAGCCTGCTAGTTTTCTAGCCGGTTCCAAGCCTCAGTAATGGGGGAGAGTTGGGTATGGGGCTAGTGACCCTACTCCACAGAACCAATTAAACTGCTAGAGAAACTTCAGTTCCAAAAATGTTTCTAAAAAAACAAGAAATTCAAATAACGATCTCATTCTTCGCTGGAGTCGGAGAAGCTAAGTGACGTAGGCTAGTGAAAGCCGATGGAAAGCCAGTTGGCTAGTGTGTATTCTCTCAATGAAAGCAAACATAACTTTATGAACGTGGAATGTATGCACAGTGTACCAAGCTGGGGAGTCTTCCCAGGTAGCCAAAAAAATGGGGAAATGCTGCATGCAAGTGCCAGGAAAGTGTGAAAGCAGATGGAACGGATGCGTATTAGCCAAATTGTCAACTGGTGAGTCAATAATATACTCCGATCACCTAGATGACAACCACGAGCACACTGAGGGAGCGGATATCATGATGTTACCAATGACAACAGAAGCTCTTATGCAACGAGGACCAATTTCCTCCAGGATTATGACAGCAAGATTCAACTCAAAAGCAATGAAGGTCACATTTACCCAACGCTACAAACAATGAGGAACAAGACAAGAAGGAAGATTTTTACAGACAGCTGCAAACAGTAATTGACAACATCTCGAATGGTGACATCGAAAATCTTATGAATGCCAGTTGAACTGGGAGCAGATAATACAAGAAGAGAACTCGAGATGCCCTGGGCGAAATGAATGAGAACGGAGAATTATTCACACAATTCTGTGCTTTCAATGATTTAGTGATTGGAGGCAGCGTGTACAAACACAAGGATATACACAAAGTAACATGGATTTCGCCTGACGGACATGCCACAAACCAGACAGATTTCCTCTCAGTGCTGCTCAAAGAAGTGCAGACGCAGCTAGTCTGCTGGATACAAAGTCGAGAAGGGGAGCAGATGTGGGCTTAGACCATCAACTAGTTCAAACAACCTTGAAGGGGAAGCTGAAATCCTTCGAAACGACTGGAGACAGGTCACTGTAATTCAAGTTCAACATTCGGAAACCAAAGGTCGAGACTGCAAAAGATGCATTCACTGCAGATATCAGAGCAAAGTCGGAGACACTACGTAGCATCACTGAGGAAAACTGTATGGAACGTCATTGGAACTATCTGAAGGTGATGTCAAAAGGAAACGCGTGCAACTGTTCTAGGAAGAAAGAAGAGACAAGACAAGGAATGGCTCCCAACGGATACCTACTTGGAAGACAATAAAAGAGAGGAGGATGGTGAAAGATAAGATGACTCAATGCAAAGATTTGCAACAGAGGGAGAAGCTGAGTTCAATGTACACTGCACTGCATAAAGAGAAAAATGAAGATAAGTGCAAGGAAAGACAAGAGACGATTCCCCGACTCATTGGCAAGTGAGGCAGAGCAGGCTGGCTGCAGGTAAAAGAGACCTCAGAACATTATATCAGATATCCAGGCCACTCGCTGTCCGCGAGGAGATCAATCCAGATGATGGAACCAACAAAAGATGTTCAAGCGAACCTGATTACCAAGGAGGAAAAACAAATTAAACAGTGGGCTGATCACTTCAAAGGACTCTTTAATCAACCATCGCCTGCAAATCACCTAGAAATACCACCAGAACCAACAACAGCATGCAAAGAACTGCCTGTCAGTGGGCACTAATCCTCCACTGAAAGCAGAAGTCCTGAATTCAATCAAGCTACTGAACGCCGACCGGGAAGGAAGCAAGATCAGACGGAATTTCTCCCGAAGCATTGAAAATGGACCCAGAGACTGCGGCAGATGTGCTCACGCCATTATTGCAAAAGTTGAAGAATGAGGGAAAGGGAAGAAAGGCTACCTTGTCAGTCTGCTAAAGAAGGGCGACCTAGGCCTGTGCAAGAACTGGCGTGGAATAATGCTCTTGTCCACACCAAGTAAAATACTAAGTCGCATCATCCTGGAGAGAATGAAAGATGCACTGGATGCAGAACTCCGCCCTCCAAAACTAGCTGGATTCAAGAAAAGCAAATCACGTGCTGATCAAATTGCCACTCTACGCATTATCATCGAACAAAGCATGGAATGGCAGTCAAACCTCTCTGTGCATCAACTTCATTGACTTCAAAAAGGCCTTTAGCAGACAGCATTGACCGAGAAGTAATTTGGAAACTACTTCAACACTACTACGTGCAGTGCCCAAGTCTTTATCAACCTCATTCAACAGCTGGCTATATGAAAATGCCACGTGTCGGGTGATTCACAATGGAAAACTCAGCGAGGCGTTCGAACTGAGTGAATACAGGAGTAAGACAAGGCTGCCTATTATCATTGATGATATTCTCAATTGTGGTGAACTGGATTATGCGTCAGACTGTGCACAGGGAGTGAGGAGTCAGGACTACGCTGGACCACTGATAAGAAGACTGTGGAAGATCTGGATTTCGCAGATGATATATGTCTGTTGTTACACAAATTCGAAGGCTTGCAGGTGAAAACAAACATACTGGCTGAAGAAGCAGGCAGCGAAGACAGAACTGCAGGTGAACACGAATAAGACGGAGGTGATGAACATGACCAACTAACAGCAACAGCAACAACAACAGCACCAATCACCATCAACAGGAGGGATTTGAGTGAAGTTACTTCCTTCACGTATCTAGGAAGCACGGTTTCATCCACAGGCAAAACGGATGAAGATGTCAAAGCCGTTCAGAATCGGAAAGGCAAGGTATGCCTTCAAGTCTCTAGCTTGCAGCCCTATGTTCCATTGGGAACGTGAAAGAATTATAAATATATATATATATATGCATCAATAAATTTTAAGTTACTGTCTTCTATTATTTTTGAATGAATAAATTAATTCGTCTGTGTATGTGTACGTGTATTAGCCTTCCTCATTTCTCTCTCATATTATTATGAAACAGTCTAGAAATGTTGGGTGCATACGCCTATTTCATATTCATTCATTTTCAAATAGCAGTTTTTGTTTCAACTTACACGTCTACTAAGCTGATGATAATTTATGCAAATGATATGCATATTACTTTCAACTGTAATAGTAGTATTAGTAATAATATTAGCAATAGTAGTAGTAGTCCAAATAGTGCAATAGTATATAAAATCTCTGTCCACTCAAAGTGTGATAATGTTTTGGCTTGTCATAAAACTAGAATAACAGTAATCTATCTTGATAAGCTTTATCTAAAATGTCACTGGTTTATAGACAGCCAACTAACTAACTAACTAACCAACCAACCAACGGACTATTTAACATATTAGATAAGCTTATTTGATGTAGATAGCATACAGTGAGTGATTCAGTAATCATAACTAGATGACATTTCCAGTACACTTGTATTGTTCATAATCATATCAGTATGCATTAACATGGTTTGATAATCAGCTTTGTGTATTTTATCTTTCTCTCTGTCCCTCTCACTCTCCTGT